TTTTAGCATTCATAAATATATTTAATATTAATATATTCGAAACCGCAGCATACTCAAAACCAAAACCGCTAACCAAAAAACCATAAATAAAGAGGCACGACAGCCCAATCAAATATCTGTTCTACCTAACACCCTAATAACCGAAGGCTGACGCGACCAGGAAAAAACAACCCTGGATTTCTAAAATAGCAGGTCCTCATTCAATAATTTTCAAGCCCCTGCAATGACATCGTGGGTCAAATAATCCGGCGGAGCCGACGATAAGTATCAGCTCTAAAATTTACGATGTATTTTGCTTGTGGTGCTCAAAAATATCGTTTTAATGGTGTTTCGGGCCCTTCGGCGGCGAAGAATTTCATTTTGGTGATGTTTCAAAACCTCAATTTTTACGTGGTTTTGGGCTCCCGGAGGGGGCCCTAGGTAGAAAAAAAAGGTATCTCAAGACCGTTTCAATATAGATGGCCTAAATACGGCCCCAACATAGCTCCCAAGAGGGCTCAACATGGGTCAACATAGGCCCGACGTAGGCCCAAAATATGCCCAACATAGGCCAATATAGGCCCAAGCTGGTCCCAAGATGGCGCAGCATGGGCCCGATTTAGCCCAACATAAGCCCAAGATGGGCCCAAAATGGCTCAACCATGGGCCCGACTTAGCCCAACATGGGCACAACCTGCGTTCAACATAGGCCCAGACTGCTTCCATACAGGCAAGCACTGCGCATTATGCCTGCCTCAGTTCTTAACATAGCCCTCCCTGGGTTTGCGCGGAGAATCTCGGCCCAATCTTCCCACACCATACGCCAAACGTCGTCGCTTGGCCGGCGCCCGGCTGTCAGGCGTAAGCCTTTAAATCACAAGATACCTTTATTCGATTTAATTCTTCTTTCCTTTGCTCTTCTCGACTCTCTGTTCTTACTCTATTCAATCCTGGACTCACTTGGCACAGCCAGCTAAACCTGAGACTTAAGACTTCATAGCCAGTTGCCAATGCCATTGAAAACCATCCGTACTTCGGAGTTTCTTTACGACATGTTATTTGATTATCGTTGATTATCTAATCAATATAATTTTCTTCATTCATATTCCTGTTGATTTTTTCTCTGCGCGAGATTGTCATTTTATTCTGCACCCAAAGAGCTTGTTTTGTCACGCTGCACATATCAGCAATTGCTCGAAATGTCAATATGAACCAAGCAAGTAAATCATGTTTTGAGCATCTCTATTTCGCTGCAGTCTCTAATTAAGTATCTCCTTACAGATTGAATCTCCATCAAGATTGATTCAGTACGATCTCCAGCTATTTGCAATCCATTGCTTTATCCCGCAACGACATGCAATGAGAACCCCAAGTTTGAGATGATCTCAGCATGACAAGCTCTTGAGGCTTTGTATATACAAGACGCCCTTTTGCGTCTGCTGCGCCGGTGCCCGTTTTCAGCGTGGCAGCTACTTTGCTTCACCTAGGATTCGGAGCAGTGAAACCAGTGAAAGCCCAAGAAGTGGTTCCTGTTTAGCGCACTCCTCTCATGGTCTATCCATGTTTATGGATGTTTATCATAATATATTTTCTTAGTGACATAGTGGTTTCATGTAGTCTATTGTAGTCTTATGTTGTCTTATCTGTTGTCTTATGCTCCCGCATCCTTATTTTGTTGTATCCACATGTCAGATCTTCCTGGGTGTGCCACTGGAACCAGCTTTTTGCTGAGATGCCGACAGGTTCCAGGTCAGCATTAAGCACCAAGCCCAGTTCATTGCCTCATTGGAACCAAACTTTTTCCCTTTTTCCACGACCTTCGAAAGGCAGTTTTTTTTGGCGTGAACCAGGATTTCAAAGTAACATCAAACATGTTGGATTTCTGTGACCAGGTTTGACCTCCAAATTACCCAGATGTCTCCCAAGGGGACCGCTCAGAGGCAGACCCTGGCAGTGCCAAAGGTGCTGGTGGTTGAGTTGGATTGGCCTGGCATCACCCACAACGACGCCTCCGAAACTGCACATCTCCCTCCGTAAATCTATCATCACGATCAAAAATCTTGTCGTTTTGGGACCGAAACATCCAATATATTCCAACATAAAACATCAAATGTATTCAAATGTATTATATTCTAATATAATCTATCAGTGGGATCAAAACTTCTCCAATTACAACCCGCTCTTTGCACCTTGACCAGCTGACCCTTGGAAGCAGCTTGCGCCAGGGTCGAAGAGTCGACACCCATCGCAACGGTGGGCTGGACACCTCGCAGGATCCAATGCGATCCGTCTTGGGGGATTCAACCGTCAAAGATTTGTGTGCAATATATCGCTGTTTGATCGGCCTAATCGAAATAGTCCTAGCCTAATTTTACGATATTTTTTTCGTGTCTCCAAGTTTGAGATCTCTCGGTTCATGGTTTGGCGTTGCCTGCTTCGATGATCGTGACTTCAAGACCGGGTCTCCGACCAACAATAGCTGGTGTGGTTGTACCTCCCGTCTGAACCTGAAAGCGACTCTCAGCTGCCATGTGAGACGCTCGCTTGTGGGCAAGAACCGAGTCGTGGGCCGGCACGTTTTGCGCAGAGACGGCGTCAGGATTGTACCTGCTGCTGGATAGCCAGGAACCGGCTGTGGCAGATCATGGATTCAAGAGTCTTGCCATCAGACATGGACCGGATTTTTCCAGGGCACTGCTCTTCACCCTTTTTGATTGTGACTTTCAGGAACTTTCCTTGCTTGGTGTCAAAACCTTGGTGCCAAGGTGGCTGCCATGGTCCGATGTCATTGGTTCCGAGACTCGCACCATTCATTCCTTTGATGGCCATGGTAGCTGCTTGCGTTGTCGCATATGAACAGAAGCCAAAGCCCTTGGATGCCTGCAGCATGTGTGCTTTCATTTGTGCTTCAAATCTTCTGAAAAAATCGATCGGGCTATAGCCAGTCACCTTCACAGTGTTCATTTAATTTTACATTCGATGAAGACCGGGGGAAAAACATGAACGAACCGCCTTGGTCACAGGGTCCACATGAATCTTTGCAGAGACAATCGTTCCAAACCTGGAGTACGAAGCAATAACGATCATAAAACCCTTGCAGCTTACAACAGTTGCAGCATAATCAGCATAGCGTTCATCCAATGTTGCCAGCAGCACGGAGAGAAGTGTGCATTGAAGTCATCGTCAGTCCAATTGATTGGAACGTGGAAAACAAAGATGTTGGCTCCTGGCTCAAGCGCGCTCAAGCGCGCTCGCAATAAACGACATTAAAAGACAACTGAGGAAGGGAGGCGACTTCCTTCTAACCAGCATGCAGGTTCCCATGGCCTGGCGGTCCATTTCCTCCCTGCATTGCGGGCAATGCTGCCTGCCACGATGCTCTCTGGGTGAGCTGTGTCTCTCTGAACATCTCTGAACTGTGCAAGACCGATCTGCAACCTGCCAACTTCCCTTTGCCGACTTGCTGACCAAAAACATATGCATCATGTGAGCAAATTATCCAGATTTATCCAGTTAGTTGCGGGTCACCATGCCGGCCCCCTTAGGTCCCCAGTACCATCCCCCATGGTGGGCGGCCCTAGGCCTGGGTGAGAGCCAGTTGGCCAGTAGTGCCGCTAGCTGCAGCAGGCAACGATGGCGCCCCAGGTGCCTTGGTGCCATGCGATGCTGCGATGCTTTGTGATGCGCCAGCTCCCAGGTCTGCAAGGCATTGGGCACTTAGGTCGGAACCGTCTGCCCTCCAAGCCTAGGGTTGTCAGTGTCAGTTAATGCTGGTAGAAATGATGGACAATAGAACATCATAGACCTACCTAGCAGGTGCAATCTTTAATACACCAAACTTGCAGTGATTTGGACAAACTGGACAAAATGAATCAAAATGATCCTTTGTTCGGCAGAGAACTTTACATCTACGATATCGACAGGCATCGATAGGCACAGCAACGGTCTTCGGGGCTGCGGCTCCGCCGGCTTCTCCCATCTGGTTTCTTTGGTAACGCTGTTGTAGTAGTAGGGCTGGCAGGAAAGGGCAATGGCAATGGCAATGGCAGGGCGGCAGGGCATAGGCGGCAAGAAACACGATGAAACACATGACACATCTCAACTGATCACGAGCCTTGCCCTCCGGAGTGGTAAACTCTTGCCACGGAGTCACAGCCTTTGTTGGGGCCTGGAGAATTGTGCCAGTTGCAGCATGGCGATCACATCTCATTTGATCTCTTGTTGCTCCCGCGTCCAAACGTGTCCAAACAAAGACATGAAACACCAGGACCAAGAAACCCATGTCACCCTCGCAGATCATATATTGCAAGCACGTTGAACGTTAGTCGTAACGTCTGGAGCTGCGAGATGCCTCAAACACTGTTCCTTCAATCTTGGTGATTTTTTCATTTGCAAACCTCGGGACAACATCCATCGTCATCCCAGCACATGTTTCCAGCTGTTTCATCTCCAAAGTGCAGCATTCCGAGGACGTTGCTTACACTGCAGCGGTCTCGCGCTGCCAGGAAATATCTGCTGTCCGTTAAACATCGCCACAGCGACCGCAGCTTCTGTCTCATCCTGTAAAGAAAGGCTTGGCTTGGCAAATGATGGGCTAAAGATGGCCGAAGTGTATTACTCTAATTCATTACTTCAATCATCTTGAACCTATTTTAATCATGTTGAATCTGTTTAAACTCTCATTTTCTGCAATTACTCAAGAATGCAAACATGAATGGAACATCTCATAATATTCGCAATACGTACCCTGCAAGCAGCCAATTGTGCCAGACCCTGGTGGGGCTAATGAAGCCTCGTAGGTGACGAAGGCCCAACCTCTATCTGTACCGACTTCGTCCTCAAAGACGTGAGGTAAAAAGGATTAAAAAGGCATGAAATCGACATCTGAAGACCACTGAGTCATTGAGTCACTGCGCGCCTGCATGTAGAAGAATTCTTTGATTGTACCCTGCTTCTCACATTCCTCAATACAAAGCTGCAAGATGCGAGTGATTTTCCTTTTGTGAAGATTTGTTTTCAGCAAGAAGTGAACTGAGATGAACTAAGCAGTTGCGAATCGGCCTCTTTCAGCACCTCCTTATCCACGTGATTCGGGATGCAACCTCCAGGCAGCGACGACAAATCCGGACAGCAGCCCATGAACTTCACCTCGCCGACCTCGCCTAGGAAGACCTTGCTATCAGACATGGCAAGGGATCTTCACTCCTGGGAGGAAAAACATGAGAGATGCGGCAGATGCGGCTCCCGTGGTCGCTTCTTTATCCCATCTGCAAAGTGTCTCCCAGAAATTTCCCAGACTGATCCCCAACTGCAGCCACGGTTCAGGTGGGCACCTATTTGACCCTGAGGCCCCCCAAAACTGAGCCAAGCTGAGATGTCGTGGAGGCATCATGAGGCATCCACCATGGGCAGCCATGGGGATGTGCTGTAGATATCACGAGGATGTTTTGGAATCATGATATATCGGATATCGTGAATAATGGGGTTTTGAAGCAACTAAAAGTTGGGATGATCCTTGGACACAAGCTCGACTTTTTTGGTGGGGCTCCTGTTTCACAACTGGGGAAACTGATAGAAAGTATAGAAACTAAAGATGTTTGTGATCTGATGGATACATGCCCAAACGAACTGGATACTGTACATGGTTCTATATTATCTGATTCATATATATATATATATATGTGTATATATATAATATGCATATACATATATCCTCATTTGATAATATCACATGATCATGTCATATCATGTCATCTCATAGTACCAGTAGTACCGCACAAGGCGGTGGCGGAAGTTTCAAAAAATAGGAAACCTATAGGAGAGCTTGGTTGTTGTGAATGAGGGATGGCAGAGGGAAGCCACTGATGGACCGAAAGGTGCTTGAGGTCTCCTCTCTTTCTCTCTCTCTTTCTCTGACTATCTACTTACCTACCAGCCTATCTTCTATGTATCTATCTATCTATCTATCTATCGATCTTTCTATCTCTCTCTTTCTCTCTTTCATCTAATTACCTATCTACCTATCTACCTATCTACCTATCTACCTATCTATCTATCTATCTATCTATCTATCTATCCATCTATCTATCTCTCTCTCTCTCTCTTTCATCTGTCTATCTGTCTAGCTGTCTACCTGTCTGACTATCTATCTATCTATCTATCTCTCCATCTATCGATCTATTGTTGTTGTAGTTGTAGTTGTTGTGGTTGGTGTTGTTGTTGTTGTTGTTGCTGTTGCTGTTGTCGTCGAAGTTAGGGTAGTTAAGTTAGTGAAGTTAGTTAAGTTAGTCAAGTTAGTTAAGTTAATCAGTGTCTACTTTTTTGACATCTTCACGTCAAAAAAGGCTCAAAACCCTCAGTTTTTTTACACTTTTGACTTCGAAATGTGCTTCGCGCCACAACGGCGTGCACTTTTTCGACACGTTTTCGACATCTGAACCTCCAAAAGTGGTCCGAGACCGTCAGTTTTTAACACTTTTGACTTGGAAATGTGCTTCGCGCCACAACGGCGTGCACTTTTTCGACATCGCAAAAGTGGTCCGAGAATGGTGTGCTTTGTACATTTTGACTTCAAAATGTGCTTCGCGCCACAACGGCGTGCACTTTTTCGACATCGCAACTTCCAA